TTAGATTTCCACCTGAACAACAGCCTCTAGGGAGTACAGTCTTTTCCAGACACGGTGAGAATGGTGCCCGGAGTAATTCCCACACAATTTCATTTGTATAGTAAAAATGACAAGTCAGTCCTGAGAAACTGTGTCTCCATCCATTTAAAAATATTGAGCAGTTTGTACATTGCATTTAATTCTTTCATTCCTGAAAAGTTTTATGTAGTGTCTGTATCCAGGGCATGATATCCAAAAGAGGTGAATCTATCATAATCTTATGTTTCTGTCTACTTAAATCACAGTATTTACAATAATACTTGCATGTCATAAAGATTTATATCAATACCTAAGATTAAATTAATTTAAAATATATTTTAATTAATATTAAAACTATATAAAATAGAGTTTTATAGTTTTATTAAAATTATGGTTTTTTTAAACTACATTAAGCTCTAGGTCACCATCGTTCTGATTTAGCAAGTGTTCAAACACAAACATTGCTGAAGCTTCCTTCTCAATAGTTTTTCAGTTGTGTTACTTATGATGTATTTTTGACATCTGAAGGAAGTACAATTTCCAATAAGAGACCATGGATAGGCAGAAAAAGAGATTTGGGCAATCAGCCTTATTCATCTCTAAGGAACTGTGTAATTATACGCTCAGCAAGGAGATTCTGTGAGATCACCAGCAAGATCAGCCTAGCTAGCTACAATTTGAAAAACTGAGCCTTTGAGTAATGTGATTTTAATCTTTAGAGAGAAGAGGAATTACTTGCAAGAGACTGAAAGTGATACTCAATGAACAAGGGGTATAACCAAGGAGAGGGAGGTGTCCTGGGAAGCAAGGAAGTTCCCTCCAAGGCTGCTCACAGGTCATGCAGGGTGAAGCCTGAGCCCTGGCAGTACAGACTCACTAGAGACCCTGCAAGGTCAGGTTTGAGGAAGTCCTGAGAGCAGCACCCTGTGGAGCAAATTCAGAAGACAGCAGTTGAGGGAGCTTTGTAGTCTGCTAAATACTATAAACCAAGAGGAGAAGAGAGCTAAAAAGTTGATTACTGAGCTCAGCCTTTGAGGAAGAAAGTCAAAGGCCCTCACCCACCTCCGAGCACTGAGCCAAGACAGAGAATCAGAGTCCGAAGACTGAGGGGATCTAAGTACCTGGAAAAAAGATACTGAGATGCACCACAAGAATAGTGAGGATGTGTTCATATGGTACTTTCTCAAAGATCTATAGCCATGTACCAGAAAATGTGTTCAGAGAAAGGACAAGTATCAACATTCTGAGACTTTCAAGCATGGAACCTAAAATGACTCCAGTATCTGGGGACCAAACCAATCTTTTGTTCCACTGCATGAAGTAGGGGTTCCTGAATATCAGATGCTCCTCATAAGTTTTGACTTATGTCCTCTCCAAGGTTTGAAGTTATTTACCTATTCATGAAGAGATTATTGAAATGCTCAGATTTGGCAGGTGGTAAAACTCCCATTGCTTCCTGATTTGTAGAGAAAGTGACATTATCTTAAGCAGGAGCAAGGGGGAGTCTCCGAAACTTACCAGTTCTAGCAGACAATGACTTAAATAACCATATTCTTAAAGGAATGGAGTAAATTATAACCACCACAAAAGTTTGAAAGTTATAATGAGCAGTATTCCTCCTCATATTCCAATTAAATTAAAGTATCTGGACTCTGCCAAAACCAGCTGAGGTATAGAATGAATGCAGATTATTTTGCAAAACATCAAATTCCATCTAAATGGCATTATATTAATTGGTACCTGTAAGCAGGAAATAGAAAATTCCTGAAATATCATAAAATACCATAATATTAGACAAGAACAAAATGTCAAAGGAAAATTAAACTTGAAAAAATTAAGAACATATATAACATGAGTGATGTTTTTGGATGTCCAGTGGTCTCATCTACATG